GCCCTATTCCTGTCTGAGAGGACCGCAGTATCATAGGCATTGTTTAAGTGTTTTAAATTGCCACAACACTTTCTGGGAATGGTCCATGTTTTCATTAAAAAACACATGGTGGCAGCAAACGTTCGGTGTGTAAAGTGTTAACTGTGGAGTTAACCGACCCTAGTGACGATCACTCTCAGTCTGCTGGCCTGAGATTGTTGACCAGTGAGCTGTAAAATCTCTCTGCAGTGTGAGGCTGAGAGTAGTATTGCCATGCCATGTGACGCCACGTTCAGTTCAGAACTGCGTATAATCATGTGTGATTGACGTACAGCAGGTTCAGGCTGGGCGTACCTCACAGTGGACAGGAGGGAGGAAGATACATTAGGACACTAGGATGTTTCCTTCTGCACAGAGGGAATGGTAAGTTCATATTTTCATTACTATAAGTTTACTTTATGTGTCTATGGTACTAAATAGCTCAGAATACATCAATGTAAATTCAAACCAAAAACACCATGTTATTCTAGAGGTTCTGATTTTTTGACAGATTAGGCCAGATCTTTTATGTTCAAAGTATCATTTATTTCAGCAAAGCACTGTCAATCTGTTGGAAGAGCTGATATTTCTCTTAACCCAGTTTGCATGTTTGGGCATTTGATTCATTAATTAAAAAAATGACATTATTTTTGGTGTTCATGTTGTGATTTAGAATGGAAAGGGCTGATTAAATCAGTAAGAAATGTTGATGAGTTTTTGAACAATGTTCCAGATCAAACTCCAAGCAAAAGTGTGTTTAGGCAAAGCCAGATCAACTATGAACTATTATCACATCTCCACCAAGTGAAAGGAAATCTGTGTAAATATTTTATAAAGGATCAATTAAATTCTTCACCATATAGAAAGTACATTATACTGTACATGGACTCTTAATATTTACCACTGATCCAGGCATTGTGTGCAAGGGAGATGACATTTTCTGGCTCTTCTGAGTGAGGGACTTAACTCTTATTTAATACATAAGCAAATAAATCTCCTGGCATGAATAATAAGGAATATATGTAACAGAAGGTATTATGAAAATGGTCCCAAAAGAAGACATATATCTTTATTAAAACACAAAAGCTGCACAGAATTCAATGATATCAGCTTGCTATTAACAAAATATTAGATAGAGATTTTTATAACACTAATCTGGACACAAAATAATCACCAGTACTACAGCAGTTATACATTCAGTTGGAAGAAAATAAACCCTTGTCCCACAGGCATGATTCTACAGCTGTCAAATCTATTCTTTAACATGCAGAGGGAAGTACCATTCACAAAACACACAGCTCCAGGCTCTGTTTTGTAATTGGTGAGGAGAGGTCATGGAAGTACAGAGGAAGCTGTACTTCCCCCACATGTAAAAGAACAGATTTGACAGCTGTAGAATAAAGCCAGCAGGACTGGAGGTTACTTTTCTGTCAATAGAATGTAACACTGTTGTAATACTGGTGAGTTTTCTGTGCTCAGAGTTGGTCTTTAAGGTTTCTTTTGCAAGCTGCAATGGCTGAATGGTGTGGGATGCACCTTGTTAAGTATAAACTTAACTTAACTTCAATTTCAAGGAAGATAGCCTTACCCTCCTGGTAAGTGTACTCTTAGTGGGGGGGATTTATCAAAACTGGAGAAGACAAAATCTGAGGCAGCTGTGCGTGGCAACCAATCAGCTTCTCTCTTTCATTTTCAAATCTTAACTGAACAGACTGAAGAGAGAAGCTGATTGGTTGCCATAGGCAACTGCTCCACATTCTTCTGCTCCAGTTTTGATAAATTCCCCCCAGTGTATTTATTGCTTTTTACATCCTATAGTGGATATGTTTACAGATTAGTTCAGAGCAGGAACCACACCATGTAGAAGCATCTTAACATTAGCATGTGATTCTTAAGATATTTGCATGTGTATGCAAACAAGGAATTCTATAAAACAAAATTACAGATATATTTTATTAGTTTACTTTTGCAAACAGACATGGTTGAGTGTTGTGGATCTTTTGTGTTCTGTGCATAGTTTATGGATACTACTATGTTTGATCTTCAATGATATAGAATCTCTAAAAGTTAAAAATTGGATTACCCAAGACAAAGCATCTAGAAGTAAAACTGAAGGTGTGAAAGTCTAAACAAATATCAAATCCAGTTACTATGCATGGCAGGAACAACATGTATTTGTGGAATTTTGCATGGGGGCTAAGACCAAACAGTGATCATTTAGTGTTGCAACACATACAGAGGGGAATTCATCTAACCTGGAGCAGACAAAATCTGGAGCAGCTGTGCATACCAACCAATCAGCTTCTCTCTTTCATTTTCAAATAATCATATATTTTAACAAATAGGTAATATACTGTATAGATTGCATAAGGGGCCTTTTGGAGAGTGATTTCTATTTGTCTTAGTAGTATACGAACAGACCGCACTATCCAGAGAATCCTAATACTTCAGACTTTATTGAAATTCACAGCAAATCCAGTTCAACAGTGGATAAAGGTGTATAAAACAATCCCTGGTAAGATCAGTATATTAAAGTGTGCGTGATGTTCCAAGATGTAATTTACTTAGTGATGTACCCAGGAGGATGAGGAAAATTAGGGATAGAAGGGTTACCCCTGGAGAAGAAAAGGTTAAGAATTCCCCCTTAGTATCCTCTTCTCGTTATAGTCAACAATTTGAAGATGTTAAAAAGATTGTCAAGAGATACTTACCTATTCTTCATGGAGATGCAGATCTCAGAGGTATACTAGATACAGGTATACGTTTTGTAGCGAGGAAAGCACCTACTATAGGTAACATGATTTCCCCCAGTCTTTTTAGAAGTAAGAGAGGACCCAACATGAATTGGTTAAGAACAACAGGTCTATACAGATGCAATGCAGCCCGATGTTCGAGCTGCAGTATTTGGGGTGATAATCATCTTGCAACTTCTTGTTCTAATGGTACTCCATTTAAAATTTACCAGCTAGTTAATTGTCAGACCCGATTTGTTATATATAATATCTTGTACCATCTGTCACAAACAGTATATAGGTAAGACCACAAGACAACTGTGTGACTGCATGAGATATCATTTATCCAATATTAGAATCTCTAAGAATACTAACGTGGCTAAACATTTTTGTCACCATCATAATAGTAATATTATGAGTATGAAGGTACAGATTATAGAAAGAGTTGATAAAACTTTAAGAGGAGGGGATCGAACTTCCCTTTTCTCAAAAAGGGAAGTGTCATGATTAGGGCACTGGAGCACCAGGAATCATAAACTCTGGGTGTTGCGGAGCAGTAGATTATGACTAAATAAGAAATGTGCACGGATACAGGTCTCTGGAGATGCAGGGACAGTGTGACAACAAATGCAGGTGTGCTAGAGTCGCAGGATCTAAGGAGCAAAACTCTGGGTGTTGCGGAGCAGTAGATTATGACTAAATAAGAAATGTGCACGGATACAGGTCTCTGGAGATGCAGGGACAGTGTGACTGCACAACAAATGCAGGTGTGCTAGAGTCGCAGGATCTAAGGAGCAACCTGGTCTTCACCAGAGCCACTGATGGTGTGGATGTTGAGCTGCGGGGCAGCTCCCAGGTTGCGGCTCTCTGACACACCTGTGCAGGGTGAGTGCCAGCTGGTACTCCAGGATCACAGCACACTGGACAAGACACACAGTGCATACAGGGTACAAGGAACGGAAAACAGGCACTAGAGGGACGACGCAGGGAACATGCGTGACACAGGGAGCAGGTAACAGAAGGGAACACACAACAGGTGTACCCACAGAGACAAGAGATACACGGTAACAGCAGAGGGGAATGCACAGGAAGAAGGTGCACAATAGTGCAGAGCACAATAACCACAGGAAACAGGAGCAGGAGGCAATCACAAACAGAGCAGGTAACAATGCTGTGGAGATAACTCACAGCCACAACAAACTAAACAGGTACACAGACAGAAAACAGATGGAATGCAAGAGCAGAGCAGGAAGGGAACACTGAAAACAACAAGAGCAAGCATGGCACAAAATACAAGGTATGCTCAAACAGCAATGCCACAGGAAACAGAGAGGTCTGGCTACTAGCGTGGAGGCACATTGCTCGAACGCTAAAGCATGGGTGCACAAGCCATTTAAAATTAAAAGTGCGCTTGAGGTGGTCGACCTCCTGCAGAGGAAGATAGTATTAAGTGCCTTTGATTTGGCATTATTTACTGTGAGTCTACAACATTGTCGCCAAACATTGTCCCCTAAAACTCTTTTTTTTTAAACAGCAAGGCAATTCCTTTATCTGGGATTCAGATAACAGAATAAGCAATCTAATTTTATCATGTGTAGTATTAGGTAATCTAATTTTAATTTTCCTGGCCATATCCATGGCAGCGCTGACAAATGGGTTTAGATCCAATTACCCCTAGCTGACAGGAACCAAAAGGGTTAAACAAGGCCTAACCCTCTCTATAAAAGCCCCTCCTCCTGCTGACTTCCCCAGTCTTTTTGTTCCTGTCCCCCTAGGACAGGGTTGTTTGTATGTTACTGAGAAGTTTTTCTTTATTTGCCAACTGATTGATTTCGTATTGGCCTCAGGGGAGTTCAGCCTCTCTCCCCTGGGAAGTCTCCAAGACTCGGCCCCGTGCAAGGGTGTCCCCTTGGGGAAGGACAAACTTTGTTTCCATGAGAGGAAGCCGGTTTTTCCATGTACTGTTGTGGTTTCACTTACCTGCTGTGCTGTATGATGTCCTTTTCACCTCGGCCGGCTCCCCGCGGTCTTGTCTGTTTGTGATGTGTGGGCGAGACAGGATGGGCAGTAGCGGCTTCAGCTGGCATCTGCGCATGCGCGGAAGTTCCGTCGTGCGTGACGTCACCAGAGATTCGGATCCAAATTTGAATTTGTAAGCCATTTCCAGGGAATTGAAGATAGAATTTTTTCCGTTGGTGTATCCCCCTTTGGATTCCCCCTGGAGATCCCTTAAAGAACAGTCTATCATGGATGATTGCCCCTCACCACACCGGTCTGTGGAGACGAGGTAAGGGCAAAAAAAAAAAAAAAAAAAGAGTGCATTTTATTTTTCTGACAGTCATATACTTTTATGTTGAGCCCTTATCCAACGGGCAGTAGCCAAACGGGTGAGGCAAGCTGGCCATTCCCATAAGAGAATAAGAGCAAGCAGTTCCCGATTTGCATTGTCAGATGCATGAAAGGGCGAGAGGAAGTTCTGTCACCCTCAAGCAGACACTTTGCGGGGCAGAGACGGAATTAATCTTCCTATCCTGTGAGTATGATCACAAAGAAACTCATGAAAGAGGGCTTGTTCACACGATGTCCGGATTCTGTCCAGACCAGAGCAGTTCGCTCCTGCACTAAAACGCATCACAATGTATCCCTATGTGTTTTATGGGCCCCAGATCACACGAGCGCAGTGCTTTCCATTCCGGACAAAGAAAGATACTGCATGTCACATTTTCTCTGGTCCGGAAAACGCACAAACGCCTCAAGACGCAACAAAAATGTGCCAGAAAAGCACCGCACTGCAGCTAACTGGGAAACAAAAAAAAATGGAATGCGTCTGTAATGCGGTAAAACGCATCAAATACACGTCAAAAAACGTGCT